CCCTAAACCCTAAACCCCTGAACCAGGAGCGGTTCAGCCCGGAGAGACCCTGACTTTCCAGCTCCTTCGGCCGACGCGCGTCGCCTCGAATGCCTTTGCCTTCGCAGCGATCCGAGGACCGGGTTGATCAGAGTTTTATTGGGCAGTTTAGTTTAGGGTTTAGGGTTCAGGGTTTAGGGTTTCGGGTTTAGGGTTTAGGGTTTAACCTCTGACCTCTTTGAGGTAGTTTAACTCCTATAATTATATTCAAGCAAGTTAGCCTCTAGTTCTGCTGGGATACCGACAAGCAAGTTTTCCCTGGGCTTCAGGGCCTTTGTTGTGAGTGAGTTAAACAGGTCGGGATGCTTAAGGCGTTCGGGGCACCATCGAGGATCTACGCTGTCATGAACTCAAAAGCCGTTAACCCTAACCCACCTGCGAGACTGCCGTCGTAGCCACCGGCGCCTCAAACCCTAAACCCCAAACCCCAAAGCCTAAACCCTAAACCCTAAACCCTAAACCCTAAACCCCTAAACCCCTAAACCCCAAGCCCCAGAGCCTAAACCCTGAGGTGATGGGAGCGTGAAGACCTGGGGGAGGGGTGCTGCTGGAGGGAACAGTCAGAGGCCCGAGCTGCAAGTTCTACTCTTGAGTTGTGCCTCCCCTTTAGGGTTTAGGGTTTAGGGTTTATAGGGTTTAGGGCTTATAGGGTTTAGGGTCTATGGTTTAGGGTTTATACGGTTTAGGGTTTAGGGTTTAGGGTTTAGGGTTTAGGGTTAGGGTTTCTTATGTCAGGTTGAAGGTGCAACCATTGATTTGGTAGAGTTTGGAGTTTTCGGTTCCCAGGTTCAGACTGGTTCAGACCTGAAGCTTTGTTTGAGGTTTTTGCGGTCAGTGGGTCGCATGTCGGGATTGTGGATTGGAGATTATGACTTATCTAGGCTCTGGGGATTGCCGACGGTCACGGGTGCAGGTAGGGTTTAGGAGCCTAGCGTCATGGTGTGAGGTTATGTTCCTGTTTTGCGCTGAGCCGAGTGCAGCCACCCCGAACTTGCCGGTCGTTCTATGGCCCTTGCAAGAACTGTAGCCATCGTCAACCGAACCAAGTGCACTGGTACAGAACTTAACAGCACGATGGAAGATACCACGAACTCTTCTGATATTTCACCTGAAGATGATCGACGCTAGTCGAGCCGGTTGTTGACTCGTGCAATCTGACTGCAGGGGATGGTTCGAAGCCCTAAGCCCTAAACCCTAAACCCCAAACCCTAAACCCTAAACCCTAAACCCTGAAAGCAGGATGCAGCCCCTTCTGCGAGACGTGCAGCAGATCCAAAGCTCGGATGAGGCCTTCGCTGCGATCCTTGGGGACGGTACGGTGGTGACCTGGGGGCAGGACCGGCTTAGCTAGTTCAGGGTTCAGGGTTCAGGGTTCAGGGTTTAGGGTTTAGGGTTTAGGGTTTAGGGTCAGGGTCCTCTAAACTTTTTTGGGTTTTTACAATTTTGTAGCAATCTGAAAGGTTAACATTTTAAGCTCCCTGACCTGTTGGGGCAGGACCGGCTTTCACAGGTTGAGGAAACCCCTAATCCTCACCCTGCATCCCAGAGCCTGAAGCCCTCAAGCTTTTAAACCCTAAACCCTAAACCTTATAAACCCTAAACCCGAAACCCTAAACCTTATAAACCCTAAACCCTAAACCCCCGCTTGAAGGACGCCTGGGGAGGCGTTTGCAGCATGGTGCAAAAGCAGCTCCGTGAGGTTCGTGAGATCCAGGCCAGCTTCACGTATATGGGTAGTTCTCTAAATTAGGGTCCCTTCTTAGGTCCCCAAATATACTACGGCACTCTTTTACAAGAGACCCTAAACGGGGCCCCAATTTAGAGAACTACCCATGTTACTATAAACTCAGGCTTCAGGCTTACGGCTGTGAATAATTAGAATAGGGTTTGGGGCTCCTTTATAGTCTATTTATCATAAGGAACCC